TGTAAGTACGCGTGTGCGCGATAAAAAGGAGTCTTTCCCTGTCATGATCAATATATCTTCTGCGTCGGGGCTTTTGATATATTTTAATACAACTTCTTTTTCTTGACTGCTTCAGTAGAGTATTCATAGAAATACATCCCAGCATTTATTACAATACAAAGAAATGAGTAGGAAACCACGTTTGTAGACGTGTTTCACATCTGGCACTCACAACAACAAAAAATACTGGGAGTCTTGCGAGTACTCTGATCTGATTTGCTCCTTCTTTTTTAGTGAAACACCCCCCCAAAACGACAAAAAGACAACACCCCACAATTCAACACAAATAGGAAACGAACAAGACAAGACAAAGTGGAGTCTAATATTGACTGTCGGGGAAGGAGGGAAGGATCCGAGACAAGAAGGAGGTCTATCATGGCCTGTGGGACGACTATTCACTGCTGCGGACAGAGAAAAAAATCCATACATACATATGCCCAGAGGTAAAAGAATCCAATCAGCAGAGACCTCGAAACGGATCCCTCGTTAAAGAGTAGCTGTAAACAGATCAGTCTGTTCTGTTTTGACATAATTCCCTCGCCTTTTCACGAGCGCTGAACCGGGGCGAGCGAACAAAACACTGTGCTTTAGTTTGGGTAAAAGAAATATCTCAGAGAGCTGGGGCAACTCTTTACTAACATTATTTCCAAAAAAATCAAAAAATCATTTCATTGACATCCCCCCTACCCCACCCCCCACAACAACTCAAAGGCACCCCCTCCACCAAAATAACAAGAATGCACATTCACCTTCTCCCCCACCCTCTCACAAATCAAACTATTCAGCTTTAACCTAGAGTGAGGCAGGAAAACCTGTTGCCAGATTCGAACGTATCTCTGTCCTACAACCCTGTGCTTTGTTTGTTTTCAGGAAACGCTTCATTATGGCACTTGCAACACAATTAAGTCATATAAGTGGCAAAGATTAGAGGTATTACAAGAGAGTAATAAACACACAAAAAGAAGGAGAGGATTTGGTTGTGCCTCTGAATGCTGAGCCGTCTGTACAGACGCGTATCCAGTCATCTGAATATCTGTCGATTGTTTGGCCTGATGCAAGCGTCAGCGTCACTGGGTCAGAAGATTTTGAGCTTTTGAAATGACTTTGGTACCACTGTTCAATACAACACGTTTTATATGACTAGGGAGGTACCACTGCACTATACAATACGTTCTACATGACTAGGGTGCAGCTGTATAATACAATACAGCTCGCTCTATATGACTTGCATACGACTACACAATACAGCATATTCTATACGGCTTAGTTGGTACCAATGCACAATGCAGCACATTCTACATGATTCTGGAGGTACCTCGGTACAATACAACAAATCCTATATGACTTAGGTATAACAGCAACATATATTTACACACATACATATATGACTTTGGAACAACTGTACAACACAGCATGTTTTGTATGAAATGAACGCCACTGCACAAAACTGGACATTTTTCAGAAACTTGAAAGAAACACACGTGCCAATGGTAGTTAAAGAGTCCATCACCACAGTTTAGAGAAGAACTCCAACCCTGTATATCTGGGCCGACCCGTGCCGAGAGAGATATATCGTCCCAACCAAAAGACCAAAATACTGATACTAGACAGAAATTCTCCAAACACGGAAATCGAATTTAGATCTAGTTCTCCGTCGTGCAACGGCCATGCGCCTAGTCGTCACACAACAGACGACAGACTTTTCCAGCACAATAAATAAGTTATAACAAACAAAGAAACAAAACAAGCAAACAAGTAAAGAAGCACAAAAGCAACCCCCCCCCAAAAAAAAAAAAAAAGAAAAAAGAAAAGAAAAGAAAGAACAAATAAACAAACACAAAAAAGGCAAAAACAACAACCCCGGTTCACCAACCTGCACGCAGCTTCAACTGTCACCAAGACCAAACGTCAAGGTGAACAACAGCGTCCGCGTCCCTTCTTGCCATTTCCTGTGGTCCTAGAAGGGAGATGATCGGGGCTCTACCCTCTGGAAGAAACAAAAACAGAAAGCCGTTACAACGAGGCTTTGCATGAGACTGATGCAAGTAAGTTTAGTTTTAGTAATGTTTTACGGCACTTGCAACACAATAAGGTCATATAAGTACGAAGACTAGAGGTGTTACAAGAGAGTAACAAACACAACAAAGAAAGAGGAGAGATAAGGAAGATAGTTGTTTGATAGGAAAAAAGGAGCAAACCACACCAGAGCACCCACCAACCACCCACAAGCAAGTAAGATTTCCAACAGCGGAACATACCAGTAACATGTCCAAGAGGTATTTTCGTAGCCAAAATAAAAGTTTGGTATTACACTGCGAGAGTTTGAGTTCGAGGAAAGAGAAACACATCGATACAATAACGGTCATACGGTGCAGGAAAGAAGCATGACAGAGATAAAAACAACAGAAAGAAAGCCTACCAATGGTGCTCTCCAGCCACCCACTCACTATACGTTATGACATGACACAAAGTCTAGTACAAGAAACAACATCTGGGCCGCATAAGCCAAGCTCTATCTGAACACGCTTTAAATAAGTGTAACGGTTTAACGCCCCGCCCCTTTCAGCACAGGTTAACTAAAAGGCGGGGCCATCAAATTCAACGTCATTCCCCTTAACAGCGAGCTAAATAAGTTGAAAGTTTTGAAAACTCAGCAAAATAACCTGAGTTCATAAACAAACCCTTCGGGATTCGAACTACGGCTGTTCACTTCATTGTCTGGCATGACACCAACTGAGCTAACGAAGTACACAAGTACACGCTCGGAAGG